GTTCCTCCCTCTGCCTCTTTGTTAACCATAACTGTGTTCACTCACCGTGGTATCCCGACCTACGTGGCCAGTCCTGTCACCCTCCATGTCTCAAGGGACTCATACGGAAAGGCCACTGGCAGTCCTTATCATGTCCCCTCCTAACGTGGCCAGTCCTGTCACATCGCAACAACGGCCTTGCAACGCCCACTTCTGTTCTTCCCTCTGCCTCTTTGTCAACCATAATTGTGTTCACTCACCGTGGTATCCCGACGAGCCGAACGTTTAAAATTTTAGCTTGAGAGAAGTTGAGACTAAACAGACTCCTACCTCCGACTTTCAAAATAATTGAAATGTCGACCATCTGTACAAATCACAACTGACGTGGAAATAAAAAAAGAAAAGCAGAAAAAAAAAAAGGACAGAAGGACAACTGACGCTGTGTTGATTTGTCAGTTGCTGGATCATAGCCTGGATGTCATTCGAATCCCTGCCTTTGTTATGGACTACATTTCAATGGTTCCTCCTGACTCTTGCACTTCGTGAAGTTAATTCCCCACAGATTTTAGCACTGCTCAACATAGTCCGTACGTCAACACCCCTCGGGAAGTGTGAAACTGACGCAAAGCCAGATGGACGACTTTTGAGGGCGAGGGGTGTTTCACGAGACAAAAATATTAGTTTAAAAAAAAGAAAAAAAAAGGGTAGAAGACAGCTTAGTACTGCGTTGTGAGATCTCAGTTCGAACCCAGATGCAACTACCTTCTCCCAAATACAACGTACGATCATTACAGCTGTGACTAGACTGAAACATGCCTCAAATTGAGCTATAATGACCGTAAGTTCTATTCGGGGGAAGAAGGTAAAAATGACATCAGATACTCCGAAACCTGTGGCAGGTCAATTCGATGAGAATATCTCAAGGCCATCACCCTTTCAAAAAACGGAAAAAAAAAAAAAAAAACAGGTATGGGAACCACACCTAAAAGTTATTCAGCTGTTGCATGCAATAGCTCTCACTAAAGTGTGAGCGCCTCTCTTCCCAGTCTTCCCGCTCACTTCACTGAAGACGTGCTTATGCCCTCTCCCTTGCCCATTTCAGTGATTTCACACGTCACCGCCCCCCCCCCCCCCCCCACTTCTGCCAATTTCAATTTAAATTTATTGGTCCTACATTTTCACTTCGAATGGGAAGAAAGTTCCCAATCACAGACAAAAAAAAAAACCCAATTTTAAGAGAATCCCTGCTAAGATAACAGATCCAGCGGTGGCTGCTTCTACGTGCATTGAGCTTTAAATAACCAAATATGAACTGCTACCATAGGTACTTTTCACTGCAAAAGATGCAAAAAAGCCGTTCAACCGCACGGATCGGATGCCAGTTTTGATCTTTAATGTGCTGGATTGCAGCACTGATATTCTTCCTGGAACACATGTCTGGACCATGTCTATGCCTCCCGAGTCCGTCATCGAATTCCAAGACTGTGAGACAGCGAGACACAGACAGAAGAGGAGAAAAGCAAAAGAGCGCAGGAAGAGAGATGGCCAATGTGCAACAGCGCTGAGGAAAGAAAAGCAGAGCTCAGGAAAAGAGACGGCCAATTTGCAACAGCGCTAGTACTCCCATAATAGCGTTAGTACTCCCATAATAGCGTTAGTACTCCCATAAAGAAAAGAAGAGCTCAGGAAGAGAAACGGGCAATGTGCAACAGCATTAGTACTCACATAATAGGAGGAAAGAAAAGCAGAAGAGCTCAGGAAGTGAGACGGCCAATGTGCAACAGCATTAGTACTACTCACCTACGTGACACCCGCAGCCTAGGCCGCGGGCAATTCGGCCGCCATGGCCGAAAAAGTCGGCCACCGCCCCGGCCGCAGCCTGGTTTACTCGCATATTACAATTGTTTTCTAGATCATGTATACACCTCATCAGTCCTGATCCAAAATTCCGAAAAAGAGAAACAAAGGAAAGAAAAGAAGAGCAGAGCTCAGCAAAAGACACGGCCAATGAGGTCGGCGAACATGGGGCAACAGCGATTACTCACATGTTATACATAAAAAGTGAATGGTACGGTCTAGCAGTAATAATTCGCACTTTCACTCTGTTCTTCGGATCCCACCCCAGAAACTGATCGTTCACGAAAACCTGCAAAGGCACAAACAAAAGCATGACATGCAGAGCGGGCATCAGCCTTCAGGATCATTGATAAGAAGCACTAAACCAAACTGGCCCAGCACATACTACTATGACATCGCAAGGGGGTTTTCGGGGGCATCATCAGCATTCGAGATCATTGATAAGAAGCCACTAAACCAAACGGGCACAGCACATACTCGTATAACATCACAAGGGGGATTAGGGGACATCATCACCCTTCGAGATCATTGATAGGAAGCCACTAACAAAAGTGCCCCATTGAGGTTTGCAACATTGGTAATATAATATGTCAGCATGATTGTTAAGCAGGCAGGCACGCGCAATTATATAACCTGATGCTGGACCACTGAGACAGAACCGGATAGGGGTCAGCAAATCAGCCAATCTTTTCAGCATGACCACTTTAATACAACTCCTGCTGCAAACGACAATGACAAGGACTCGATAAGTCCATAAGGAACGGAAACACGACCAGCACCAAACAGCATACTGTGTGGTCAGTCAATAGTAACATAATTACAACACACACGTACCTTATCCAGGGCATTCAGGTAGTCCACAGCCCTCTCTCGGTTGATTAGAAAGGTCTCCTCGTCCATCTCTGCGTTAGGCGATGCTCTACAAAAGAATACAAGCAGGGCAGCAACAAACAAATGGAGAAAGAGAGAGTTAACGGCACAATGACAAAGACACGACACTGACGACAGAGAATGCACCATCTACCTCAAGAAAAAGAGATCAGGAATGAAATTAACAATTTAACAAGTTTTGTTCCGCCTGGCTTCAGGGGGACAAAGGGGGATGGGAGGGGAGAGAGAGAGAGAGAGAGAGAGAGAGAGAGAGAGAGAGAGAGAACGGCACAANGAGAGAGAGAGAGAGAGAGAGAGAGAGAGAGAGAGAGAGAGAGAGAGAGAGAGAGAGAGAGAGAGAGAGAGAGAGAGAGAGAGAGAGAGAATGCGCCATCTACCTCAACATTCAAGAAAACGAGATCAGGAATGAAATTAATTGGTCTCCGACTGGCTTGAGGGGGGCCAAAGGGGATTAAAAGAGAGAGAGAGAGAGAGGTCCTATCGTGCTCTACCAGGCTCCCACAACAACAAGAAGCGCACAGTTAAAACCGAACGTCCACTGAAACAAGTCAATCAAAGTTGAAGACGGCAGATGCCACAGATGCCGCTCATAGTCCAGGACACCGCCAGCCTAACTTGATCAATCAACGCGCTGAAACGCAATGCACACATTGCACAGTCCAAGACAGATCACACATGCACACAGCCGCATAACCTCCGCCCACTTTTTGCCTCCTCTGCCCCTCTGGCCCTCTGGGCCTCCAAACCTTCCTGCACCTAACACTGGAATCACGCCACATTCGTAGTCCGATGGGGCCATTCCGGGAGTAAACAGGCCAACTCCGGGATGCAAATGAAGGCGTGCAGAATGAAGATAGTTTTCTGGCAAGAAGAACCTCCCACTTTTCCCAAGTACAAATTATAACCAACAAAATGATCACAGATTCGTCATTGTAAACCAGAAAAAAAAAACAGGGCTCGACTATCGCATTCTTCACTATCAATTAAGATCACTCCAATCCAAGAAAAATTTCGGTCTCCATCGAGCACAATGCGCATGTACACATCACAGCGATGATCACGTGCATGCACGAGCATGTGTGAGCTAAACATGCATTCGCATGCACGTGCATTTGTGGGATAGTCATGCATGCGCATGCACGTGCATGCATGGGACACTCTATAACACCACCGGCGGAAGCTGGTCCAAGCATTTCAGATTCCCCAACTCTACTTTATCCACCGGCAAGCTTTCATGATTGCTGTGTTTTGCATGATAGCTCTTCTACTTCTGTGTTCTTTGAAACTGTTTTAATCCCTATGTTTATTATTGTAGGGGTATGGGGTTCTAGACAGAAAAAAATACGAGCAGCATATCAGCTTTTCTTATATACTTCGCACCCCCGGCAAACAAATGCACAACACAGTTCCACACTTGTGGAGCAGAAAGAACACAGAATAGAGATATGTAAACGTACGTTCCCCACCACACATCGTCCTTCGTGGAGTCCTCACAAACCAAACGCTTGTCCTTGGGCGATCGGCCGGTCTTGGCCCCTGAAAGCGTCGCTAAAGCCCCCGTGGACATGATGAACGAGGCTTTCTCGTGCACAATCGCCTGCTCGTAAAGCGCTGTACGAGACAAACCCCAACGGTCCCAACCCAACCCAATCAGTACTCGATCAATGCGGGTCATCAGGATTTGCATTTGCGCTCTGCAGCACTTTGCAATGCAATTATATTCATTCATCAGCAGCAGCTGCTCCCAATGGATCACACGTTCAGCCACAGGACTCCACACTTCATCATAGCCTCGCTAGTGGCTTGTTAGGAAACACAGACAACCATGCACTACTACACCAGATCCTTTATGAGTGCCTCATCATGATGATCTGCTAACCAACAGTATTACAGGCTCCTACCAGCTTCTGGTTTCGTGGGTTTTGTTTCTACTTAGGGCAAGATCTCACTGGCAAAGAGGATTGGACGTGTTTGTGGAGAGGTGCAGAAAGCTGTGATTGATCTGCGTCTCTGCATCTTTGCCCGGAACACGTCCAAATTCAGTCACTTATTCCAATCATCCTTCCCATGGATTCTGGACCTAAGTCAAGACACATTTCTGGCGAAGCTTTCAGTACTGGTTTTGAAGCAAGGAGTCAGATTGAATCTGGCGTCTCAGCACTTCAGAACAACTCACGAGTTCTCAACCTACTCTACTGTCCGAGTTCTCGGAAAAACATAGACTGCAGTCCACCGACCGTCTGCACCCGGATAGAACGTTTCCCATATCTTAGTTCTCGGAAAAACATAGACTGCAGTCCACCGACCGTCTGCACCCGAATAGAACGTTTCCCGTATCTTTCTACAAACAAACACCGCCCGTTGGGATCCGTTATTTCAAAACAGGAAATATGAGGCAGTCCTTCGGGAAATCCGTTAAAATTGGAACGATACACAGAAGATCAGCATGGCCCCTGCGCAAGGATGACACGCATAAAAAAAATAAAAATAATAATAATAATAATAAAAAAAAAAAAAGAGGCCGGGATTGACATGAATTACGTAGTCCACCGCCCGTCTGGACCCCCTTCACATTTCTTTTTACAAACAACAAAGGGCGCCCTCTGGGCGTCATTATTTCAAAAGAATCAAAACAATCAAAACAGAGTATGAGCAGGATTGCTTTGCTTCGCATACTGTCGCAGTACTAGACTACAATAGACCTAAAATTTGGAAAGAGATCAAAATCACACGTTCGCGGCTGTTTCACAGCAAAAATACTGGTGGGACCCAAGCTCCGTTGCAAAAATACATCTTTCGTGGAAGCTTCACAGGTCCTGGTAATTTCGCAACAAAAATATTTACAGGCGGGGTCCCAATTTGGTTGTATTTTTATTTGCGGGCCGGGTCCCACTTTCGTCGCAAAATGCCAAAAATACATCTTTCGGGCGGGACCCAAAGTCCGTTGCAAAAATAAATCTTTCGTTGCAGCTTTACAGGTCCCGGTAGTTTCACAGCAAAAATATTTGCGCACGGGGTCCTACTTCTGGTCACACCCTTTGTTTTTTCGTTTTTTTTGGAAGAAACATCGTTCTTTCGGACCCCGTCACCCGTCAACATCTCCGCTGGGAAACTCGGAAAATGCGCTATTTCTGTAATTAACCCCAAAGCGCTGGGAAACTTAAAAACGTGCTATTTCTGTAACTAACCCCAAAGCTACGATACGGAGCGTTCTTTAGGAGCGTTCTAAAGAGCCGTAATTCCCACACCCAAAAAAAAAAAAAAAAAAAAAAAACTAAATAGCTGGAGAGGATGATGCTTCCAGATATCTCCGCGAGTAACCTCAATTCTTGATTTATGAATGAAATTTGCATTCGTACCAAAAAAAACAAAAAAAGAGCTGTATTGACGGAGCGGTGTATTCGGGTCAAGACGGTAGACTGGGGCCGTCCACACCCGGCTACGTGGCTCGTGAGGGAGTCACGAGAGATTAGAGGTTCCAACCTACTTTTAGCATTGAACAACCCCGACATTAGCCATGCCAATCTCAACCGGACTCGGCCCCCCAACAGCATCCGCTCCACGGCTCCAGCAATAGACTCTTTTTTTTTCCGTAGTTGTAGCATACGCCCTCAACAAGCCCCAGCTCAGGTTATGACAGCCATTCTGAAGGGGCAAGGAGCCCCCTCTTTTCTCTACTTTTATTTTCTTCACCGTGGACAGTACCGCAGACGTCCTTAACAAGCCCCAGCTTCGGTTACGTCGACCGTCCTCAACAGTACCGCAGACGTCCTTAGCAAGCCCCAGCTTCGGGGCCAACTCCCACGTACCCGAATGATCGATTTCTGACCGCAGCTTCGGAAGATCAACGACCAGAAATCACAATAAGCGTAAGTGGGATTTGGCCCTCGGTTACGTTCGACCACGCTCAAGGGACGAAACGGCTCTCTGGAACAGTTTTCACCTTTGGCAGTAGCCGATGCAGATCCCAGGGGTCAATCCTTTGACCTCAGCTTACCTGTGTACAGTATCTGCACAGTTCCCTGGAGTTGCGTGACCTGCACGATAGCCAGTGGTAAGTAGGTCGCCGTAGGTTGTAGGCTGTAGGGAGATTCGAACTGTAGACCTGTAAGGTAGGAGTCCAAGTAGAGTCCAGAGGCCTAGCTTTAGTCCTTCTAGAAGGTCGGCAAGTGGTCAAGTGGTGAGTCTAAGGTAGGCCCACGTTTTCAGACGAAGACAAGTGGCAAGGTCAACAGGTAGGACCTCAGTGCAACTGCACTGAGTCGACGGTAC